CACATGGCCAAAAGGACGGGTAACTGAAGTCTATCCTGCAAAAGACGGCAAGATAAGGATTGTAGATGTGACCTTAGCTAACGGAACCGTACTTCGTCGATCTGTGTCAAGACTGTGCATTCTGGATATACAGGATGAACAAAATTGGGTAATTGTCTCTATCTCAATACTCACCTTATGCTGAGCCAATTACTGAGGGGGAGAATGTTGTGAATTAGCTTAAAATGTATTCATTCTGTGTATTAATCTATATTCCTTTGTATATAATGTATTATGAGATAGTTGTTTGTGAAACAAACATGAAAAGTTGTCATAATAAAAAATAATTTGAAGACTGACAATAGATTTCGAAAGATTACAAAAAATATCAAAAAAAGGTCATTCGAGCGGATCTAATACACTAATTCCAGGTAAATCACGAACAATACTGACTGATCTCGGAAGATAATTACCAATACAAACTGTCTGATTACGATTACTTACGTAAGGTTGAAACCAATTCAGCAAGGAGCCGGTCACACCAACATCAGCCAGCTTTTGTACCAGCAATGTGTGATCGATCTTATCAAAAGCTTTGCTGAAGTCGGTGTAAACGGCATTCACTTGAATTCGGCTGTTCAAGCTTTTTAAAATATATTCAGTATATTCGAATAAATTTGTTTCAACAGAGCGCATTCTGACAAATCCATGTTGTTGTAAAAACTTCACAAACGATAAGATTTCCACGAAATTTTTAAACACACGACATGTTTCGCTAACACAGTAGCTTCGTCAGGTGATATGTTGTTGTATATTCAAAATGTTCATGACATCATGATACAAATGATCAAAAATAATGTTTTCGAATACTTCTACTAATATACATAATTTATAACTGTTTTTGGCCAGATTTATGAATTGGAATAACGAATGCTTCATTCCAGGAGTTTGGAAAATGCCCTTTATAAGGATTAATTGAACAGGAGATGACAAACCCTCTGCACACATTTTGATGAAATTGATCGGGAGCTCATCGAGGCCAGGGCCCTTATTCGGGAGACATTGTATTTTAGCTTTTATTACGTTTCCTGGTATGTAATAGTTATTTATATTTTGGATGTAAAAACGATGTCCTATTTCCTTGGTTCTTCAAAGTTTCACTGAAAGCTGATAGGAATTGATCAGCAAATACTTCAGAAATAGCTTCACCATCCGTCACAATATCATTGTTGATAATGATAGATGTAATTCTACTATAAGAGTTCTTCTTCGTCTTTACATATTGCCAAAATTGTTTGGGATCGGATGATATATTTTTTTCACATGGATCTATGTACTTTCTGTAGTCAAGTTCTATCAAATATTTAGAACGTCCACGTAACATTTTGAAGGTGAGATAATCCATGTCGTTATAGTATTTTTTAGATCTTGAGTGATATTTATTCTTCTCTTCAACCACCTTGATGGTGCTAACAGAGAACCAACTAGGGAATCCTTTACAAATAATTGGATTTTTAGGAACAAATTTATCTATGGCTATATTGATTTTATAATATAGAAGATCAGTGGTATCATCAACAGTTTTTCCCAGGAAGTTATTATGCCAATCAATCCCAGAAAAGAAATTGTTAACAGAGTCGTAATTAGCCTTATTGAAAATGAAGGCATGAAATTTATTTTCCAGATTACGAGTCATTATGTATATTATGAAGAAATTCAAGGATAGTATGAAACTTATCTTCACGAACCAGAGGCGATTGGCATAATTGTAATCTTCGTAGGTAACCACAGTTGTTGAACACAAGGTCAAGTGTTTTTCCGGATGAATCAGTTAAATGATTGTGCTGAGTAAAATTTCCAAAAGAGAGTGTATCGATTAATAAATTACTACTTATATCAGTATAATTCGAAGGAGTATACAAAGATTATTGATTTCATCAAAATGCCATTGTATGGAGGGAATATTGAAGTCACCACAAATAACAATATTGTCATTAGTATGGTTACTGATGATATTTGTCAATTTCGAGCAGTAAGAGCTCAAGGCCACATAGTTAGATGAGGGTATATATACACAGCACAAATGAAATTTCATAGATTTTTTATCACCTGCGTCAGCTAGTATTGTCATTCAAAGATCCTCTGCATCAGATGACCATTCTTCTTGTGTGCGACTATTGATTGAGCCATTGACAGCAATTAAGGTGCCACCTCCTTCCAATTCACAGCAAGCTGAGGATGCTCGATCTCTGCGGTACACATTGTAATTTCCAGAGAACACTTCACTATCGAGCACATTTTTGTTGAGCCATGTTTCAGTGAAGCATACAATATCATAATCACAGAGCAATGTGCTATTATATAGTGTTGATAACTTGAAATTCAAACCTCGGACATTCTGGTAATATACTGACAAAGCCATTGGTACAAATAATTTCCTTAATCTAGTTGGGTTCATGAAATAGAATTGGTGTAGTTTCAAGATATCTCCTTCCTTTCCGATGCTAATCACTTTCGATCTATCGTCTGTTCTTACTAGAATGTTTCCATTTCTTACCCAGACGAATTTGAAGTTTTCACTTTTTATTCATTTATTTACACTGTTCTACAGAAAAAAAGATTTCCAATTACAGAACAGGAACTAAGTAAAAATTTGCACAAAAGTAAACAATAGAAAACAAACAATAGGAAGAAACAATAGAAAAAACTTGGCATAATACACAATTCACACAATAGGACTACATTAGTGAGAAGTAAGAGATTAATACAAGAATATTACTGCTGATAATAATAGTTTTTGATTTGCCTCACATTACAATGAAATATATCAAGCTGGTTACTTATTAGGTTATAGTTGCTACACATGGTATGTACAGGAGAGTTTTTGTATATATTTGTTCGTGGCGTGGCAGTGTAGAATGAGTCGGTGCATCAAGATGCCTGACGGGGAATTTTGAAGTTTATCTGATGTAGTAAGAATTGACATCTAATTTTATTGTTAATTATTTTATGTAGCGTAAGGACACCAGAACACTTCCGTCTTCGATCCAGGCTGAAAAAGCTATGTCTTGACAGTAAACTCTCGTGTGACGTGCCAATTGGTGGATAAGTCCGATCTGCTTCAAAACTTGAGTATTTGAGAAAGCGTCTTTGGATTGCCTCCAGTTTATAGACATGCACTGCTTGATAATATGGGTTCCAGATAACTGGCGCATATTCTAGCTTCGATCTGACAAAAGCATAGTAAAGAGTTTTGAGTGTCACATGATCAAAGTCGTTGCCTACTCTTATTGGAAATCCGTACATACGGCTTGCTGACGTACTCATATTGTCTACATGGTTTTGGAAAGACAGCTCTCGGTCGAAGGTAACTCCAAGATCCTTAAAATTAGATGGTCTGTCTAGAGAATGATTGTCTATCTTATAGTCAAATAGAACTTGATCAGATCTTAGTGTATACGACATTACGCAACACTTGGCAGGATTCAACGCTAGATTATTATGACTACACCATTGGCTGATCTGATTAAGATTGTCCGATAGTTTCTCAAAGTCATTCATATCATTGATAGGGGGGAAAATTTTTAGATCATCAGCATACAATAAAAAATTCAGTTCAATTATGTCACCAATGTCATTGATGAAGATGTTAAACAATAGTGGACCAAGGTTAGATTCTTGTGGTACACCTGATTTGGCCAAGTAGTTCTTAGACCTGAATCAATTTAACTGTACATACTGTGTGCGATTGGACAGATATGATTTGAATAATGCAAGTAGGTTAGTTGATAACCCGAAATTCGACAGTTTTTGCAGTATCAGATTATGGTCAAGTCTATCAAATGCTTTGGTCATATCCATGTAAATAACATCTGTCTGAATTCTGGCATCTATATTTTCCGCTATGTATTGCGTAATAACGGTGAGATTTGTTGATGTTGATCGGCCCTTCACGAAACCAAGCTGTTGGTCTGAAGAACTCGTTGGTTTTTGTTCGAAGGCCCCGTGTGTTCTGATAAAAAAGTGATAATACTTTATCCGATGTAGCTACATTTGGTTTGACTCGAACTGCTTTTACAGGGGACTGTGGAGAATTCCCATATAGCACTAGTACGTCCCCAAAACGTATTGAGAACGTCCGGGCAAGACGTTTCGTACGTACTGGGGACGTCCAGATTTGGTACGGTCGACGTTCAGGTACTTACTGGGGACGTCCAGATTCCGCACGTTTGTACATCCTCAGTACGTCCATTCAAGACCATGTATACATGAATCAACGTAGATCCGCCTCTTTTCACCCAGATAGTCAAAAAAGAGATTTGGATAAAGTGGGAAGTCTTATTTTGAATGAAAAAAATTTAAAAAAAAAAACGCTTTTACCGGGGATCGATCCCACGACCTTTATACCAGCAGGCAGATGCTCAACCTATTACTCTGGAGAACACTTGTTGACTCAAAGTATACAACAAGCAATATTTATTATGTGATGCGAATGCCGATTGACTCATCACATCCATACTTTTATTGAATCAGATAATCACGGCAGAGAATACCTAGATAGATGTTTTGTGATCTGGTGGGGCCAGTAAATAATAAATTTTTTGTGAGCATTTTATTATGTTAAGGTTTGCGAGGTTCCTATATGAATAGATCTCAGAGATCGAGGGTATAGAAATTATATATGCAATGATTTCGATTATCTTTGAACAATTCATTCAATCCCGTGAACAAAAAGTCGATAACGTCCAGAGTTGGACGTACCCAGTACATCGGAATCGTACGTACCCAGTACGTCCAGAAATGGACGTTTTCAGTACGTCTTGAAGAGGTCCCGGACGTTCAGACCTAAATGGGACCTTAACTGGATGTCCCCAGGACGTCGAGTGCTATATGGGTTAGTGTCTAATTGCTATTTAATGGCATTCATACTGGACCGTACTTTATTCAAAGTTTCGGTGTATGCCACACATTTTTGTTTTTCCCATACTGCATGGTCAGTAGCAATGTTCGGTCTATTAAGCTTAATTCAATTGGATGGAGCAGTTTTTGCTGTTAGATTCGCAATTTTCAAGATCGTGATCTTGACCACAGATTGGACAAGAGATAGCTTTTGAACATCTTTGAAAATAATGATTGAATTCGTTGCATTTGAAACATCTATGTACGTCCAGTGCATCATATACGCTACAACTGTCGTAACCCACAAATAAATTACCTGCCGCCAGAGCATGATCATACACCGAATTATCTACCTGTATGATGGCTTGGAAGATATTATCATTCTTTTTCGTGGGGAATATTTTCAAAATGTTACAATTTGATTGATGAGAGAAAACGTTAGAATTACATTTAATCAGATAGGTTTTGAGATCATCCGCTGAAAATTTCTGAGTCATGCCAACCAATCGAATTTCTTGAAGAACTCCGCCAACTTCTTTAACTTTGTATTCTGCTGACATTTTTTCTTTCAGTCTGACTTTCAACTTTTCATTATCGGCTCTACTCCCGCACGAGATCAGAATCCCACCATCTTTGACATGTTTGACTTTCGTTAGCTGCAAGTTTTCTTGAACAGGATCAACATTACGCAAAATTTCTGCCTTAGTACTAGAAGAAGACTGATTACTGTTATTGTGATGAATCAAAATAACTGGTTGTGATTTGTCTTTCACCACATCTGAATACTTCATACGACAGTTAGAAGTTTCACTTTCATTGATTTTTATTATCGCAGCATCTACATCCTTCTTCATGGAATCAAGGGCAACATTCAGTTTGGTTTTCACTATTTTCTGAATGCCGGCTGAATCTAACAGAATGTAACTGTTTGTACAGTCTGAGCATTTCCAGAAGAGTCCTGGTATACTGTTTATTAGATTGATAATGTCTGCTGTTTTTGTGATACAAGCACTTTTGGCAACTTTTTTGGTATTCTTGAGCAGCAAATTCAACTTGATGGTTAGATGCTCATTTATGAAAAGATTCTTAGATATTTTTTCAATAGCAATGCCAGAAGTATTGCTTTCTCGCCTAAATCTTTTGGTAGCAGCTAGGATCAAATCTCTTTTATGCTTGTCCAATAGTTTAACTATAATGGGTTTCATCTGTTGAGCAGACGAAGGATGGGGGGGCAACACGATACTCAGTGTCTATGTCGGCCTTAGCGATAGGACAGTTGACGTGTGCTCCAATCTTTTTCATGATTTCCAACAGATTTTCATTTTCTTAAAGGGCACACCATGTATTTCTATGTTGTTTGCTCGGGTCTGCTGCTCCAATAGATCCACTCTAGTATGTAGTTGGGATACTTCCACTTTCAAGTTAGTATTTTCTCGGTCAATTTCTCTAATGACGATATCTTCTCGTTCATTCTATTCATAGCGGATTCAAAAGTGCTGATCTGATTGCTACAGAAATTGACAGAGTCCATAACGTGCTCATATTTTTTGAATTGACTCGGCCGTTACTTGATGGAAATCCATGATAAATGTAAAAACTTCACAAACGATAAGATTTCCACAAAATTTATTAAACACACGACATGTTTCGCTTACACAGTTTCTTCGTCAGGTGAAATACTGGTACAATGAACTAAACTAACGTTGGCTTGCTTAACTTTTATATATCTTACCTTCCCAAACTGAAGGATCAGTTACCTGTGGACAGGTACGATAAACCTTCATTTTCGGAAATTAGGCACAATATCTACATTAAATTACGGTATACCGGATTAACTTGAAAGAGTTGATATCAAATACATATTATTACTTACTAAGAAAACAAATTCAACAGTGGTGAACTATTAAGGTCTAATTGATCATTAAGTAATCATTAAGAAAAATAAGGGGTATACAAACTCAAATGTGGATCTTGTCCTAAGGTATATATCGGTCAGACAGGTCGTACGTTTAATCAGCGCATTCATGAACATTAGATGGATTTTATGAAAAAGAAAACATATTCAACATACGCCAACCATATATTAAAAGAAAACCATGGTTTTGATGATAATTTTGAAATTCTGCACATAGAAAATAAAAGACTGAAACTCAATCATTTTGAATCATTACAAATCAACAAACTCAAAAATTTTGACATTTTACTTAATGATCAATTAGACCTTAATAGTTCACCACTGTTGAATTTGTTTTCTTAGTACGTAATAATATGTATTTGATATCAACTCTTTCAAGTTAATCCGGTATACCGTAATTTAATGTAGATATTGTGCCTAATTTCCGAAAATGAAGGTTTATCGTACCTGTCCACAGGTTACTGATCCTTCAGTTCGGGAAGGTAAGATATATAAAAGTTAAGCAAGCCAACGTTAGTTTAGTTCATTGTACCAGTATATCACCTGACGAAGCTACTGTGTTAGCGAAACATGTCGTGTGTTTAATAAATTTTGTGGAAATCTTATCGTTTGTGAAGTTTTTACAGTCCTCATATTTCTCATTCAGAGATCGCAGATTTTCTTGAATATCTTTCAATATCAAAGAAGGTATAGGTTCCATATCAATATCATTGCCTTCGGTTCCAATAACAATTGATGAGTTATGTGTCACGTCCCTACAATTTGGGCATATCCAGAGCACTCCATGCATGAGATATTTATCAAGAGCTTTCATTCCTATTGGCTTGGTCTTCCTGCCAATCTGGTTCAAAATGTGCTCAAAAATCCTGAAATGATGCATGATCGACCTATTCTTATAAACAGGGTGGTCCTCGAACAACAATTATGACGTCGAGTAATAAAAAGAAAGGACCCCGCACGAAAACACGGGAAATTGGCTCTGGGTCGAATTGGCTGAAATTTCACTATGTTGTTGTGATATGGCTCATTGAAAAAATGTGTGAGTTTGAAAAGTTCTTCATGTTTAGTTTCTGAGATATAAGCCGACAAAGTTCGTAGAAACGTCGTATCGGGGTAGGATTGACGAAGAAAAAAAAATGTTTTTTTAGTATAAATAAGACAAAATAAGCTAGGAAATGTATTGATCGAAACTCTAATACATGTCTAGTTATGATCACATGAATTATAGTTAATCAGGGTATATACGATGCACGGTCAAAAAATTCATTTTTCGGAAAAAAAAATTCGAGTACTACTCCAGACCCAACAAGTTTTATTTCAGTGAGACATTATAGTTTCAGTCTATTGTAGGCTTCAAAAACGTATTTCGATTCTTGATAACTATCTCAGTTCGAATTATGAATTCTTTGAATTTTATGTTATACCCCTTTTTGAAAACAATTGAAAGCTTGTTTTTGATCACAAAGAAAGTAATTGATTGATACTGTTGATTGAATGAAAGCTGAGGAAACTCACTAGCGAATTCAGTTGTTCAATATTGCCTTCCATTTAGATACAGGGTGTGTTAGATTTTGATGAAGATCATTTAACATGTTTCAATTGAATATCGCGAAAAGAGTTCCGTTAATTTAAATCTCATTTTACACACACTATTTTGAATATGTTGACTATCATAAAATATGCAAAAAGTTTTTCAATTTTTTTATGTTCCGTTTCTGAGATATGTATTTTTGAGTTTACAGTATTACAAGTATTATAGGGTTATTACCTCGGATGTTACTCAAAAATTGATATCTCAGAAACGAAACATAAAAAAATGAAAAAATTTTTGCATATGATAGTCAACATATTCAAAATAGTGTGTGTAAAATGAGATCCAAATTAACGGAACCGTTTTCGAGATATTCAATTGGAACATGTTGAATAATCTTCAACAAAATCTAACACACCCTGTATCTAAATGGAAGGCAATATTGAATAACTGAATTCGCTAGTGAGTTTCCTCAGCTTTCATTCAATCAACAGTATCAATCAATCCCTTTCTTTGTGATCAAAAACAAGCTTTCAATTGTTTTCAAAAGGGGTATAACACAAAATTCAAAGAATCCATATTTCGAACAGAGATAGTTATCGAGAATCAAAATACGTTTCCTAAGCCTACAATAGACTACTAAAACTTTGATGTTTCACTAAAATACTAATTGTTGGTTTTGGAATAGTACTCGAATTTTTTTTCCGAAAAATGAATTTTTTGACCGTGCCTCGTATACTCCTTGATTTACTATAATTCATGTGATCATAACAAGACATGTATTTGAGTTCCGATCAATACATTTTCTAGCTAATTTTGTCTTATTTATACTAAAAAAACAGTTTTTTTCTTCGTCAATCCTACCCCTATACGACGTTTTTACGAACTTTGTAGGCTTATATCTCAGAAACTAAATATTCAAAACTTTTCTAACTCACATATTCTTCTAATGAGTCATCCCACAATAAATAGTTAAATTTCAGCCAATTCGACCGAGAGCCAATTTACCGTGTTTTCGTGCGGGGTCCTTTGTTTTGACGAGCATTACAATTTCGAAACAGGAAACCGATCGAGAAGTTTTCTATCAAAGCATTCAGGAGAGATTGTCATCACCATGTCAAATTGCTACAGAATCTATTGCAAGATCAAACCACTGAAATTGTTAGAGAAACCGGAATTTCAGGGCGTCTTTCTCACTCTGTGAAAGATTTTTAAAGAAGGATTCAAAGGCAAATGAGATAGACTGAAAAAATATACAGGATGTCGTCTAAATGAAACAGGTTGCTGCCGAGACCTACCATGCAACGACAGAATTCATCACAATTGCAGTAGATTAACGAGTATCAGGATATGAAAGGACTTATATTGAATATATATATCGAAATTCAAAAGAATGGCAGACGTTTTATCAAATTCGACAATGAAGTGAACATGCAAAGTATTAAAATTCGATAACATATCAATTCCTAATAGGCCGTTGGACCTCCTCTCGATCTCAGAAGAGATGAAGCCCTATTGGGCATGCTTCCTTTCAAAGTGTTTATAAGATCCTGCAGAATAGCTTTCCCACTCTCTCATAAATGCATTCACCAATTCATTAAAATTTTCAATTTCACCCTCTCTTTCTCTCATCTTCAATTTCATTCTACTCCATACATGCTCAATCGAATTCATATCTGGAGACAAAGGTGGCCAATTCATTTTCTCAATATAATGTCTCCTCAAAATTTCAGTGACAATACGTGCACGATGTGGACGAGCATTAACATCAACAAATATGAATTGATCACCGAAATTTTGAGCGAATGGAACAACATTTTTTATACATTCATCATGGTAGAGTTCAGCATTCATATTTTTGTTTCTTGACATGACTATTTCAGTTTCATAATTAATCATTATCCCTCCCCATACTGTTACACCGCCTCCACCAAATGCCACCCTTGCTTCCATATTCACTTCTATGGATCATTATTTCATTTCTCTCCATACTAACATACATCCACCTGATCTATACAGATTGAATCTACTTCCGTCCACGAACATAATATATATCATCTCCATTCAGCTATTACTGTATTCCTGTGCCCACACCCTCCTGATGGAGACACGATGATGCTCCATCAACAATTCGCAGGAAACACGTCTTCTCGCTCGAAGATTTCGATCGTGAAGCCTTCGCCTCATTGTCTGGTCTTAAATATGTATGTATGTATCAGCAGAAGCGCCTAGAATATCTCCTAGCTGTTTGGCAGTTTGGGTGCGAACTGTGGTGATCAAATAATAATTATAATTTCTCCTGGAAGTTTTTCTCTGTGCCCCTTCCCCAAGATGATAACTCATTTACCCTTTCGTCACATAATCGAATTGATCTGTTGATGGAGGTTACTGAACTCTCCATCAGGATGCTGATGTCTTTCAGCGTAGATCCACGATCTCTTAATCTGATAATCATTGTTAATTGATCGCTCGACAATCTGGGCATAATTATAAAAAGTGATAGGTGAAATGTCAGCAGAGCTCAGTTGAATGACATTGACATCCAACAAACACAAATATACAGTATGTTTACGAATAAATGGAAGTTGGAACCATGTCCAATAAAGCTCAATCTCTTCTACGATCAACAGGAGGCCCAACTGCTTGTTGAGAATTCATGTGTTCAATGTTGTTTTCATAAAAACGTGAGAGTGATGTGATTCGAACTGGTGTTTATTTATGAAAAGTCATGAAACTGGAACATTGATTGTGATGGATTTCAATATTGAAAATTCATGTTTTTTCTGAAAAAGGGCAACACATATCCATGTGACTCATGTCTGCCATTCTTCTGAATTTTGACAAATATTCAATATGAGTCCTTCGTGAAGATATTCACCGCGAATGAAATCACATCCTGATACTTGTTTATCTACTGCAATTGTGAAGAATTCTGTCAGTTGCATGGTATGTCTCGACAGCAACTTTCTTCATTCAGACGACATTCTGTATATTTCTTCAGTCTATCTCATTTGCCTTGAAGTTTCCTTTTGAAAATTTATCACAAAGTGAGAATGACGTTCTGAAAATTCGGTTTTCCTAACAATTCCAATGGTTTGATAAAGCAATAAATTCTGTAGCAACTCGACATGGTGATGACAACCTCTCCTACACGCTTTGATCACCAGAAAACTTCTCAATCGGTTTCTTGCTTCGAAATTTCGTTGCTCGTCAAAACAATTATTTCTTTCATTACTTTATGTCATTATTGTTGTTTGAGGACCACCCTGTATATAGGAATAGGTTCATCATGCATCATTTCAAGATTTCTGACCACCGTTCGAACCAGATTGGCAGGAACACAAAGCCAATAGAAATTAGAGCATCAAATTATCCATTATCTTGATAAAACATCAATATTTCAGTGACGCGTATGACAATTACAAAAATTATTCTACAGTGTCAAGAAATCATCATCATCATGTATATTTGATGATCTCTTAACGAATGTCACAAATTGGGATCATTTCAGATTCATGAGAAATGGATGGTGAGTATGAAACATTGTGATTTGAGGTTTGAATCCGTCCTTTTCTGGTAATAGGTCTGGTGATACTATAATTATTATGACCAACAAAAACGTCTGGAATTTTTTATTTCTCATTCAACGAATACTGAATTGAAAGATAAAAGATGAATCAAGTTGCTAAAAGCATAGTTTGTCCAAATTTTCATGAAAACATTTTGAAGAGGTCTAGTAATACTTCATAACCGACAAAAACGTCTGGTAATTCTCGAATAAAATTCAATGAACACGCATTCGGAGAAAGAGGAGAAATCGAGTTGCCAAAAGTATATTTTTTCAAATCTAAATGAGATATTTTTGAAGATGTCTGGTAATACTTCATGACCGACTAAAACGCCTGGAAGATTTTCCATTTCGAATTGAATGAATACTTATTGCTAAAGCTTTTTTTTTAAGTTATATTATGCGCATGCAATAACGAAATAACCGCAAACGGTCCACCAGACTTGCGAAACTGGATTAATTGGTGAAATTGTATTTATCCACAATATCAACTTGCCAAAAGGAACTTCTCAAAATTGGTCGCCAGCTCTTGGGCAAGTATGCACCTCGGTATGCACGAACCAAGAAATTCGAATATATTTTCGAAACAAAAAGTTAATCCTCGATATTGTTTGAAACAAGACTGAGTCAACTAAGTAAATAATACAAAATCTTGAATAAGTATTGAAATTTTTGAGCAAACTTTCACCATAACTCTTATCTAGACTGCTAAATATGTCATATCTCAGCAACCCGAAAATCTCGGGTGAATTTCTCGCATGAAAACGCTTTTGCTGGATATTCAGGATTTCATTTTATTTGATCTCCTTGTTTAGGTACCGGGAGAGGTACCAGGTGATTTTCCATGGTGACTCACTCCTTCGTTCACTAACATAACCTCGAATATACCTTTTTTATTATTGAAGGTAGTGGAACGAAACTCGGGGGTTGTGAATGATAGTTCTAATGACATTCTGTAACATATCTACTTGCAACTTGGCGTAATTTCGGTTTCACCGGAAATGTCCTCAATAAGTTTAGATTTTCAAATTGGACACCCTGTATTTTATACCATCATCGGTTAAGGATTATCGTAACGAATTCGAAGATGACGGGTTAGATCGGGTCATTTCGAATGATCACAAAGATATTGACATTCAAAGATTCCGTATTTTATGCTCAATGGGTGTGACGGCGGCATAAGGAAACTCCTTTCTCTGTCACACTATTTGAGGAAAATCACCTAGTATTCGGAATATTCACACCGAGATACACATTACAAACTTATAAACTGAATGCTAAAGGATATGAACAACATTATCTTTTGTTTATCTTTTGGAGCACACGCAAAGGAATCCCTATGATATTCAGAGAACATCTTGCGTATTTCGGGAATATTGTCAATTATAGAAACATAATATCCCTATTGTTCAAATATCAACAAGTTTCACAAAAAAATATAAGGAATTTCTAGAAATTGCGAGGAAATGCCGACGAATTGACTGGAATTACGAAGAATTGTGAGAAATTACAAGAACTGTGAGGCATTACGAGGTATTACTAGTCAATAAATTGGATTATCATGCATTATTTTGGCATTGAGAAATCAGTGTACACAATTCCACCCAATTTCCCCTCGTACTTATCGCTTTATTTCCCGGAGGAGTATATAAGCTATTTCAAATCATCGAACTACTTGGGAAAATCTAGGGCAACCACACTAATTGGCGGATACGGTATGCTCGATACGGTGCCATCATTTGATACCCATATCTCTGAACTCAACCTCTGTAGTATTGAAGCGGCATCTCGAGCAGCATAGTATAACAATAATTGTGCATTTTGTGATACAAGCATGGAATTATTATCATTGTTAGTGCATTGTATGCACCTGATATCAAGATATTGGTGTATTTCATGTTACGCAGGCGTTAGATTTGGGAGCCGTTCGTGCTGTCATTCGTAAATTACTATATAAATACATAATAACAAAACTGATGTCGATTTCTCAATGAAATCAGGAAACAGGTCGATCTGTAACCTGAGGGTGCTACATTCAAGAAGGACAAATTAATAATACAATGTTATCCGCGTTTGGGTAGTTTCGTCCATATTTTTTTTTTCTAATGGAACACCCTATTCATTATAACATATTCATAGGGAGTTGAAATCAATAATATATCACACGACATATGGTTTGTATACAGTGCGTCTGTCAAATTCGATAGTACATAATTGATGACGTATTTTTTCCTACACTATTGATTTTGTATGTTTTAATACGATTTGAAAGAATATGCTCACATGAAAATAAAATTCGGCTTTAAGGAGCCTTCTTTTCGAAAGCACTGAATTCAACGAACGCTTTGTATACAGACCCTATGTGTGATAAATTTTTGATTTCAGCTTCTCATAGAAATCACAAAAATCGGATAATATATAGGGTGTTCCATTCGAGAATATTCTCGTGGATTTCATCATTCGAACGGAAATGATAATGTTCATTCAATTTTTATTTAAAAACGGAGTAAATTGATATTTCAACTCAAAAAGTCTCAGTAGATTCTTCAGGAATCGAGTCAGAAATGGATCGGTCTGCTGAAAACGAATTTTGTTTTGCATCAGATAGAATAAAGCACTGATTTATTTTCTGGAAAAATTTCCACATTTGGGCATATTTGGGAATTTCTTTGGTACAAGAATCCCAAAGCTTTGCCGTTCTCTGAGACGAACGAGTTATGGTAAGGATTTGACATATTTTTAGGTTGATGACAAGGAAGCTTGGTATTGAATTGAAAAGTTCATTCAAACTCATTTTTTCATCGATTACTAAACAGTCTCTCGCTCAATTTTTCTATCAAACTTGGTTATTTTATTGTTGATATAGGCCCTAGTAACATATTATATGGCGCTTTTCCTGATGTGATTGAATTCAAAATAATAATTCCCGTGGGGTCGCTGTGAATTATTTGATCAATATCTGTGGTAAATATCGATAGGAGAATTCTTCATTTTCATAAGGTTGACCAATTGGAAATACGCATTTATTAGATTATATTGTACAATTGAAACTTCCTCAGAGATGTAATCTTAAAATCAAGATCATATATTGTTAGAACAAAGGTGAAGGTGCTTCTCGAGGTGCTTTCATCACCAGATTATTGTTATGAATTTGTCGGCTATGCCGCTTCAATAAAGGAATTTTCAAACCAAAACCACTTTGGATAGGGTATAGAGAGCTACCTCACGATGAAACCCATATATTGGTCTGCAGGAGTGAGGATCGGGTTGTCGATTTTTTTCGACACGCACGAACAAATCACACTTGTGATATATGTATGAATATTATAAGGAAATCATCATTTCAGGCATGAAATATATGTATGATAACACTCCACAAGTATAGATTATCCAAAAACAATTGCAGAATCTTTGTGCCGCACCTGCAGCCACTTCAAAAGGAATTTCAAAAACTCCGAATCCGCACAGTGCGGAATATTCTGCAATTGATATTGGATATACTATACAAACAAAAATACTAACGATCATAAAAGCCACGAAACTCACAATTTATCTTCTTCAAGGAAGTAATCGTATTCTGGATCCAGCATTTCCTTAAACCCATCAACTTATGGGAACTTTCAATTTTCACTAAGCTATTTCACGACGAACGATCAACAAAAATGAACAATATCATGAGTCAAAATTGATAAGGGCTTCAGTCGGATGTGGCATATGGATATGGTACTGACAGATAATTAACAGATGTTGCCAAACGTCAGATATTGTAATCGGCTACGCACAATCATAGTGAATGTGAGCATGCTTCTGAAGTGAAATGAACAATTCATATTGAATGGACGAATCTTCAATGACAATATATTTATCGTCATTTAATGAGTGGGTACAATATAGGGTGTCGATATTTCTGAAAAACCTTCCTTCACTGATTTATTTTAGGTAGGCGAGTATAAATTTTCTCAACTGATGATTATAATACCCGAGTAGGGTCAAAACAATGAATTTTCGCCAAAATCTCCATACAATATTATATTATATTTGTTATAATTGAGAATAGATACATACCTATGTATTGAGGGTACAAATTAAGAAATATTATTTCATATGTCACTCAATATACATTTTCCCGAATTAATCAATTACTAATGGTTCAGACTCTTGAAGGAGTATATCAAATATGCAGAATAACATATCATGACAGAATATCTCTCAGAACACCCTTCAGCTATCCTAGGTACCTAGGTATACCCACTTCAAGGGTGTTACCTCAATGATGAGTACCCTATATCTGACAGATTTTTTTATAATACACTTCCTTCGCAAGAAAGGTCTGGTGTTGAAGTGGAGATTCAATGTCAATTCAACTTCATTATTTTATATCTGTTTTCATTATATTGGTGTACCTATACCAACAGAAATCAGTGTGCTCTAATAGTTACTTCTTTATTGGTATTCAAGCTCATGATGATCAAATGTTACGAAAAATTCTCATATCGATTATTCATGGAATACATTATACGCCAATGGAAAAAAATTATAAATCTAGACAAAAAGTTCGATCCGGCAACAGTGTTTATACCCAGGCGCCTGTAAAGCGTCACGACGATACTATTTATCGATTTGAAATAGGGACCCCAAAAGAAGGCTGAAATGCAATGGTTTATACGGCAGCTGCCATCTCTATGCCGAGGATTCAACTTACACTTGACTCTTTATTGGTGGGTGAAGTGTGCTTTATATACATGTGAAAAATTCTTAAAACTAAATGAAACCTGATATTATGAGCAGTAGTGATTTTGGTCATGTCATACCAGGTGTCGCACTAGATTAATAAATCGAGAATATGTGAGATTATATACAGGTTGTCCCAGAGGTCAATGCTATTCTATAGCTAGCTCATGACTGAGCACAATGTTAGAATATGACATTGGTGAAACATCCTTAGTTCTGAGGAATTTAATAAATTCATATGGATCACATATCAAAATAAAATGGTGTGCATCATTTGAAAGTGTCTTCTCCTGCTCACTATATATATCAGGGCTGTCCAATGGCAAGTGCCCCCAATGAAGGCCTCTCTGAAAAATAAAGGCGGCTTGAAGGACCGAAAAAGTACTTCGTACGCAATCATAACAGATCTGTGAGTTTTATCAAATTTTGTATTTGTGGGAAAATTTTAATATTTGAAGGCTCACTTCGCGGGCCGCAAATAGTGAGGCGAAGGGCCGCATATATTATGCGGCTGTGATAACTTAGTAATAAGGAGAGTTAGGAGTTGTAATAATACGACCATTCATCATCAAGTTCAAAATCAATCTCTATCTATTTTTGATAAAATGATACCGATTGTCACAATAACTGTTTAGCTTAGTCAGTACATAATATCTTATAATAATTATACACAATAGTGCGAACGAACTGTATGAACCCAGGTAATACCACTGACCTATATAATTAATTAATATACAGTATCTTAAAACTATTATGGTATAACTCAAATGTCTAAATCTATTGGAGTTCTTTATATATATTATACTACACGGCCTTGATATAATAATATATGGATTTTATATAACAACTCTGGCTCTCTCGATATATTCGAATATCACACTATATACAGGACGATTTAAGTTAAGTGCTACTGTTAATGATCATTATATGATAGCTGAAGGGAAGTTATGATTGTTATAATGATTGTAATAGTAATAATATAATTTTGACACTGAAAACTAATCACTACCCAGGTAACACGGAACTCTCCGCGATATCTCTAGGTAGTTATCTTCAGGATCAAAATGCGAAATCCTCCTGCGAGGTGCCAAAGATCACTGGTAGGCTGTCACCATGGGACATACTCTCTGGAGTCTTCCGAAAGAAATCGCGGAGATCTCGCCTCAGATTTGAAATCTTCCTCATTATTCCGAATCCTTGGGGTTATATACAGTGTGACCCACTTCTAATGGAACCACCCCTGTATCTTACGTAATCGTTGAGTAAGGATCCTGAAATTTGCTGGAGCGAGAGATATACCAAAAATGCACTTTATGACCAAGTGAATTCATCTTCAGTGATATACACTGCTCGCCAACAGCCATGAAACTACTTCAATTTCCGGAAAATAATATTAGGAGTCAAAATAGGTCGAAAATCACTTCAGATTTGGAATCAGGACGCCTAATTTACTAACTATTCAAATTTTTCCTGGAAAATTTTCAGTTCGAAAAAATGAAATCTTGTTGCATTTTTTATGGAAGCACCCCCGTATCTCACGTAATTATTCAGGTAGGGTTCTGAAATTTGCCGGAGGAAGAGAAAGTCCAAAGATAAAGTCAATTACGTGAGATACGGGGGTGCTTTCATAAAAAATGCGACAAAATTTCATTTTTCCGAACTGAAAATTTCTCAGGAAAAATTTGGATAGTTAGTAAATTGGGCGTCCTGATTCCAAATCTGAAGTGATTTTCGACCTATTTTGACTCCTAATATCATTTTCCGGAAATTGGGGTAGTTTCATGGCTGTTGGCGAGCAGTGTATATCACTGAAGATGACCCCATTTGGTCATAGAGTGCATTTTTGGTATATCTCTCGCTCTAGCAAATTTCAGGATCCTTACCCAACGATTACGTAAGATACAGGGGTGGTTCCATTAGAAGTGGGTCACACTGTATAACAGAAAATAAATAGACATTTCTTTTTGCGAGCACCCAAGGATATCCTGGACGTAACAAGATCGAGCTTTTCCCATTGCGAGCTCCTAAAGTATTCACAAACATAACCCGAATAATTGATGAATATTCCTTCAAAAATTTTGAGGTTTTATCAACAGCCTTGGAAATGAATAGACATCTCTTTCTGCGAGCACCCAAAGATATCCTGGACGTAACAAGATCGAGCATTTTCCATTGCGAGCTCCTAAAGTAATCACAAACAAAACCTGAATAATTAATGGATATTCCTACAAAAATATTGAGTTGTTTTTTCAACAGCCTCGGAAATGAATAGACATCTCTTTCTGCGAGCACCCAAGGATATCCTAGACGTAACAAGATCGAGCATTTCCCATTGCGAGCCCCTGAAGTAATCACAAACATAACCTGGATAATCAAGGAATTTTCCTACAAAAATATTTAGTCGTTTTTTTCAAAAGCCTTCATAATTCAGATACTGGGTGTCCCATGTTTTCGTGTACAGGCAATATCTCGCCTATTCCTCAAGATATCAGAAACATTAAAGAACTGCATTGAATGGCATTAAATAACCTTCCTGATGACTCATGAGAAATGTGATATATTTGGCAGCCCCCTGATGGTAGATTAACCAGTTTCTATTTTCAGATAGCATATTGTCTCTGGAAATTGCATGTCAAACTATTTGTAATACAACGATATAGCACATACCTACCTGGTGTTTTGTTCAACGATAACAACAAGAACATGAACATTTTGTGACATTTTCACGTTACTCAAATGAAAAATTGCTTCTACCCATGTGTCCAGAAAGTTCACAGATAAGAAGTATGGATTGAATTTCTACTTTGACGAAAAATTAATGACAGATATTCCATTATGAAGTGCAGAACATCAATCATTGCAGACGGTACCTACCTACCCTAATAGCACACAACGTCCTAGGGACGTCCCTATTTGGTACAATTCACGTCCGAATGTCCCGAACCAGAAATGAGTGTCCTTGGGACGTCCCATCTCGTACATCTCATGCAATGTCCGAGCAAAAGGACGTCCACGGAATGTCCCAGCTGGTACATCATTTCAAATTTTCTAGAAAAAGCATCCCTTAGACGTCCCACGTGGTACATATTCTAGAATGTCCATGAAAGGACGTCCTTGGCATGTCCCTGATGAGACGTTTCTTTAGGAACATCCATCGGATGTCCCGAGTAGTACATATTCTGGCATGACTTCAGATCTTATATAATGTCCCTTCTAAACAACCATGGAATGTCCCTGATGGTACATTCCTTCAAATATCTCTGCACAGATGCACTTAATATTTCCGGGATCATATAACAATCGAAATGTCCCTTAGGGACATCCTTCGAATGTTCCTTAGGGATATATGTCGGATGTCCCAATTGGTACATGAACTGTTCTCTTTCATTGTTCTAGGAATAACGTCCTATGGTCGTTCCAGTCGGAACTTTCAAAATGTTGTCCCTGCGAGAAAGTTAACTTACACCTCGCCGACGAATGATTGCTCGTAGGCTATAAGTACTCCTGGTCAATGTCCTTCACGTAAGTCCGTTGCACATCCCTGGAAAACTTTTTGGGGACCTTCTACGGACCATCAACTCAACTGGATGTCATAATCAGTTATGCAAGATCTGGCCCTATGGATGTCCTAAGGATGTCCTCTGTAATGCTTGATGAGGAATACTGTAGGATTTAGGTATTCGAAAGTTGTCCCAGGAACATCCCTCGAGGACGTCCCTAGTTTGGTCCTCGAATGAGACATTTGTGCATCCCACAGACGTCCAATGGACGTCCACGGTACCAAATTTGAATATCCCGACAGGACGTCCTAAGGATATCCATGGCACATAAGTGTGTTATTAGGGTAGTGCATGTAATAATTGATCTACTTTCATTGCAAGAAATTTTTAGAAACATGGGAGGAGGCAATTTTCAATCGATGTAATGTAGATAAGATCATGAATTTTTATTGTTTTTTTTTGTTATCAATGAACAAAATAC